TTACTATATCATACTATACTATACTATACTATACTATATTATTCTATATTACAATATACTATATACTATATTATATTATAGTATGCTATGGTATATTATACCATACTATTTTTCTTATATTGTATTAATCTATACTATGCTATATTATAGTATACTATACTATTCTATAATATATTATACTATACTATTCTATACTATATTTTACTATATTATATTATGTTATACTATACTATATTATATTATGCTATATTATATTACTATACTATACTATACTATACTATATATACTACACTGGGGTGCCGAAAGTTGCGCTTCTTGACTTCTAAAACTGGACAAACCCTTTCCCCTTAGAATCCTATGTGCAACATGTCGACACCTAAGTTGCGGTCAGATTTCCACACCTGAAAGCCTTCTAAGTATTATAAATTTAAACGGGTGTGAAAATCTGACCGTGCTGTACCTGCCAGGCAAAATGGACGTGTCAATCCGATCCGCTGTAGACCGCAAGTCTCATGTTGGAACAGAGTAAGAAGCATAAACTTTAGGGTTCTTGAAGTATATTATATTGTATTATACTATATTATATATTGTAATATTCTATAATAGTTTTTTTTGTTATACTATACTATGCTATATTATAGTATGCTATATTATGTTATACTATATTACAATATATTATATTGATATAAAATATATTATACTATACTATATTAGTTATATTATACTATATTATCCTAGATGTTATTTTGTTACAATATATTATACTTCACTATATTATATTATACTATACTGTATCATACTATACTATATCATAATAGACTTTATTTTGTTATATTATGTTAGATTATACTATATTATAGCATCAAATATACTATACTATACTATATTTATATTATTTTATACTATATTTTTGTATTATATAATATTGTATTATATTATGTTATATTATTTTACTATATTACAATATATAATATCATAATATACTATACTATGTTATACTATATTATACTATACTGTACTATACTATATTGTATTTTACTATGTATAATTTACTATATTATATTATATTTCAATTATATATATATTGGTGTTAAAACGACCATGTGAGGCCTAAGGTTGTGGCTGCACCCTATGTGGTCATGGAACTGGCAGTGCCCCAAGAAGCATGCTGGGACATGTTTGTATGCCTACAGCACATGGAGTTTTTTAGTTGTAATTCCTTGTGGACAAAGGCAAGTGAATCGAATGCACGCTTTGCATATACAATGTATACTGTACCACTTTCACAGCAAGAAGAAACACGTTAAAAGCAGCTTTCATACGGAGGTTTGAGTGTTCGATTCAAGGAATGAACTGCAAACATTTGCAGTTTTCACTGCAGCAAATGTCACAACTGAATCTCACAGAGTTTTTGTGGTCTGTCGATGTTGCTTGTTTTTGCGGTTTGAATCCAGTTCAGTACAAACATGTTTGAACACTCGAGTCGAACATCTCTCGAGAAAGAGTTTGTACCGGTCCAAGGTTGAAGGGGAACCCCTGCACGTGGCCATGGACCGTGAGTGGTACGCGTCCATGCTGAAACTGTGGCCATGCCCGGCGGTGCTTTTGAATTGAAACGTACTTGTGCATACTTGTGCAAACTTGGTTGGAGTTGGCTGGGATAGCAAGATGTGTTTACGCAAGGTGGCTATCCGTGACTCCCAGGGGCTGTCCCACTTCTGGCAAGATGTGGAAACGCTGCTTTCGATTTCTCCGTTCGTGAGGCGCACACCCTCAAAGCATGCTGGCAAGGATTGGGTATGAAACACACCGCAGTCGAGTCGAGTCAGTTCAGCGTGGCTTGGTGCACCGGTCACTAATTCACCTAGTTTGACCTTTCATGGTTCTTTTGTTCCTGAATGGCGCGGGAGTTTCTTGTTCTTTATATTGTAATAATATGATATAGTATGATTGTTAAAGATATGGCTTTTCGGGAGGTCCTGTCTAAGGTATATAGGGTCCGGGCGCCGTGGTTGCAACCGGGCTTCCCCGGCCATTCTAGGTTTTTCTTGGCTCTAGGAGCAAGGACGCTACTAGGAGCAAAGGGCATCGCTACTAGGAGCAAGGATGCTACTAGGGGCTCCTGGCATTACTACTAGGAGCAATGTTCTCTACTAGAAGCAGCTTTGAGAGCACTTTCCATCGTGACAAGAGCCATGTTGGACCAAAGGATCCAGCCCCCATGACAGTGCAAGAAAAGCGCCAGGCGCGGCATTGAAACCAAAGCACCAACTTCAAAGGAACATGCTATTCCCAGGTATGGTGAAACGACCCCTTCAAGTCAACTGGAGCAGATTCCTGCACATACCTAGCATTTATATTGTGATGGATCGGTTTCTATGATCAGACTTCAAGTGCAGTTGCTTGCAAATTTTGTTTTACTTGATTGCTATTCAGCAGCGTTCTCCCTAAAAGCATTCAGGTCTTGATACAATCTGCTCGAGCGCTGGAGCTTGCATCCGAGCATCCTAGATCTGATGTTGCATAGCAAGACTCGGAAACGGACACGGACCCTGTGTCTTGACCCGAGGTATTTGGCAACCTTCGGGCTCATTCACCGAGACTTCCGTGGTTGCAGGGAGACCAAGTGAATCCAAGTGGGCATGCATCGAACGGGTCAAGTGTAAGTTCATTCGACAATGTGTATTTTGTTTAAAGTTTAAAGATATGTTTCAACATTTAGTTTTCGGACATGTGGTTGGGAACTGGGTCTATTTTCAAATTTATGATTCAATTTGTAAGCTTACCTGGGTTTTGAATGTCAAAAACACACCCACACACACACACACGCTGAGTTAGAGTCAAGTTTGAGTGGGGGCAACCCACTGTTGGAACTTCGCATTCTGAGTATTGAGTTCCTCACTACGTATATACAGTTGTTTTGGGGCGCGGCCTGCATCCACAAACATTTTCGTACTTGTGGCGATGCGACACTAGACTCTAGCATTTTCGGGGGGATGCTAAGTTTCCAGTCCAATGGCGGTATTGCACATTACATAATGTGAATCAAAAACCATTGACATATGAGAGCATGTAGATGCGTTTGAAGTGTATGCCTCCCACTTCGTGATATTGTCTTAGCGCCCAACTCAATCAAATTCAGCACCTGTACAGATTCTTATTCTTACTGTAGTTTATTTTTGTGCATCAGAACTCCCTTCACGCTCACAACGAGGCAACATGCACTTGGCTGAAAGGGCAGTAAACGATGGCGAGTGTGTTTTGAAGGCAAGCCTCTGCCCGAGTGATTGCTGCACAAGATCTGGCACGTTTGGACTTTGGATCACTGAAAACCATTTAGAACATCAATGCTCACAGTGATGTGAAAGTCAATTGCTATGCTACTCGTGGGAGGACTTGGTTGGACTGCAACCTTTTGTGGGTTTGGTGCAGGTAGTAGATTGACGTACTGGTAGATTACAGATTATCCCAGTATGCTGCGAGTGTGAGAGCAATCTCTCAGTCTTGAAAGCCACGAGGATAGTGGTGCTTGGCCAGGCTTCTTTATTTTTGTTTGGAATCATGATTTTTGTTCTTGTAGGTTTTGGATCTTGGTGTAATGATCACGGGTGAAGATTGTCATCAGTCGCTGGCCCAGCGGAGCGCTGTCGCGGCCGCCGTCGCCGCAGCAACGACACCACGACACCTTTCACTGAGGTCGAACACCAACGACGCAGTCCAGGTGCCGACGGCCAGTCGACTGGGTGTGATCTGGACAATCGAAACTCCATGTTTGGAACACATCAAGTCATCAAGCCTTCATAAATTCTTTAGCATGGTTACTCACTGTGCCCACTTCAGTCCTGTGAAGTGTGGATTCCGGTTCATCCGGAAAAGGCCTTCCGTCGCCGTGGCGAGACGGAGGAAAAGCGACGGCGGTATGATTGGCCAGGGACTTTGATTGCAAGCTGCGACTGTGACGCGAACCAAACCAGGTCACATAGGTATGCCGGGGTGATGCAGATTGGAATTCATATGAGCTGACTAGGTTGCCATGGGAAGTGCGAATATCTGCAGACGGCCATCACCTAAGTGACAGAGCTTGCAGGGCTCAACTCTTGGAGAACGGAAGAAAGAGTGCTGGGAAATCTATCAGTTTTCAGTGGTGAATAAGTCAAAGTTGGCAAACCTCTTTGTTTCTGTAGAAAGGCACCCTTCCTTCCCTGCTGACCCAATCATATTCTGCCCTGAGGCATTGGACCACCGCTGAACTTCTTGGAGCCTGTGCCATGGCTTGACCACAAACAGACCGGTGGACACATACGCAGGCAAAACATGGCAAAACCATGTCCACGACGAAGGCTTCTTCTATTTGGGTCCATTCTGGGTGCTGTTCAACTTCAGCTTGTGCTCTCATGTTTTCGCCTTTACAGGTGCATTCTTTCGACATGTTCTCCCTTGGAGTGCTTGCATTGCACCTCACGATTGGCCGAACAGAGGCAAGGGCAAAAGCAGCTTGATGGGAATTGCCTTTGGGTTGACAGTGATATATTAGGTCCTACCAAAGCAACTTTGCTTCTAGATTCTAGTTGGTTTGATTCTCTCCATGTAACTCGCTCAGGCCCGCCTGAGGCTTAGTGCCATGGAAAGTGCCGGTGCAGGAAAGGACCTCACCGCGGTGGAGGCAAGACATGCGGAGTCCGGGGTAGACGAGTTGGTGGACGGGAGTTGGGGCACAGGCCATCAGCGGGGCAATGGCATGACCTGGAGTCATAACAGTCAAACCAATAGCTCCTAGTAGCTTCTTGTTCCTAGTAGTAAGGCCAGGAGCCCCTAGTAGCTTCTTGTTCCTACAGTTCACAGAGTCATAACAAGACCATCTGGAACTCTGTGAGGCCGAAGCCAAAGGGTGGGTTTGTGACTTTCACTCCTTTGTGCAAGCCCCAAGAGAACCTTAGAACCTTGATATTGCTCTTAGATATGGCTGGATGCCTCAATTCGTGGAATGATGGTGTGGTAGGGCTCCCTGATTCAGAGGGTGAAAGCAACATGGCACTTGTCCTGAGTCAGCTCAACCCGGATTCATCCCTCCTAATGTTGTAGTGATGTTTAATCGCCGGCCAGTCAGCTTCAAGAGACGCTGTCAGGTGGTTGATACCAGCATGCTGGGTGGACGGCTCAGCGCCTGTCCTGTCTGGAAGTCCCTGCGCTCGGAGGCCCCACTCGAAGACCAAGCGTGACTTGTTGACTCGACCGAGGTCTGGATCCCATGTTGCATCGTGAAATGTTGGGCCCGGCCTGGGGGCTCAAATGAGGTCAAAAATAGCACACCGTTTGGACACTGGCTGGTAGGGGGTGATTGTCAAGAAAGGTCCGCATATGAAAGCAAAGCATTTTGGCGTTTCCATAGTCTTCCAGCAGGGTACATCGGGATGCATATATAGGCTGCATTTGCAGCTTTTATTGGCGGTTTCTTTTTGGGTCTTTCAGAATCGGTCTTTCTGTCTATTTTTTCTCGAGAAGCTGCGATGCACCTCTGAAGTGGCTAGGCAGCCGATCGGCCTGCGCCCAGCAAGGTGGTGCGTTCCATCGAGGCCGCTTCTATTTGGTGTTGACTAAAGTAGTCTACGGCATGCTCTATATGTTTGTCAAACATCAGTATTCGCTGGTGAACGAAGCACGGCCCCCTCCTACTAAAGTAGTCTATATAAACGAGATAGTGGCCCCAAACAATAGATAGTGTATTTGAGGTTAGCAGCAAATAAATGCCGCCGCTCATGTGAAGCTCCGGGTTGTGAAAGGTGAACAACTAGGTTTTGACATGGTCAGACACTGTAAGGTAAGAAAATCCACGATTGTTCTTGTATATGCAGCTAGGCTATGCATATTCATGAAGGGCGATGGGACACTCTTGGATGTAAAACGATTCCGGGTTCATCAGGGTGAAATTCAAGCTTCTGAGTCATTCGTTCTCCATGGAAAATATGGTCATACACACATATGCTGATACGGCCCCGTAACTAAAGGCGAGGCCCCCTTAACGTCTTGACCTCCTCAGCTCCGGCTCAAAGTGTCATGTCGTGGGGGCACCCCCAGCTTTGTGGCTGTGGGGTGTGCACTACACTTCGGCGAATCCACTGGCATATACACGACTTCAGTGGTTCGCCTGGCTACGTCGATTACGCGGCCAACCGGCTGCAGATCGTTGCTGGAGAACTTTGTGACTTCGGTGATCGACTGGCAGCAGCGAGGGCGGCACCCCGAGCTGCTGGGCTCCTTGCCGGTGGATCCGGCGGAAGGGAGCCAACTCCTCCTCGTCCAGGGGACGCACGGGAGGGGGGAGAGAAGACAGGAGGTGGAAGAGATCCAGACGGCAGTACTAGAGACCCTGAGCGGCCCGAGCATAAAGAAAGAGAAGAAGGAGAAGCAGCGAACTCAGAGGAGCCCAGGAAAGCACCGGAAGGAGATCAAGGACCCGGAGACAAGGCCAGTGATACACGTGAACCTCTTCGTCGACGTCGCCGAGTGAAGGAAGAGACTCAGGAGGACGGTGACGAGTTCTTCAACGAAGAGGAGAAGGCCCTCAGGAGTACAGCAGCAAAGGCCCTTCCAAAAGGGCCTGAAAGGGTTGAAGAAGCAGCCAAGTTAGAGGAAGAGGAGTTGGAGGAGGAGGAGACGAAGCCCCAGTGTGAGGAGGACAAGGGCGAAAGGGAGTCAGCCAGAGATCGGACTCCTCGCTCAGAGAAAGAGAAGGAGAAGAAAAGGTCCAGGCGTTCACGGAGCAGGTCAAGGCATCGGAGAAGAAAGACAAGGGCTTCGCCTAAAGTCGAACAAGAAGGTCAAGAGGAGGCTGAGGAAGAAGGCGCGGAGGAGGCGTCATCGTTGGCCGCAAGGCCAAGCAGCTGTCCAGGGACATCGAGTTCGGCGAGACTGCGTCCACGGTCTCCTTCCGGCCCACCACCTCAGAAAGGGCGGGGAAAGGGAGGCCGAAAAGGAAAAGGCAAAAAGAAAGGCAAAAAGCCTGAGAACTCGTGGACAAACAAGGGAAAGAAGAAGGTCAAGACTCAGCAAAGCTTTAAGGAGTTCTTGGCCCAGAGGAGAAGGTAGTCGTGCGGATGCCCCCACGGAGAAGGCCAGCTGCAGCGATTGAAGCAGGAGCGGATAGAGCGAGGCTGAGGAGAAGACCGGCGGCGGTTGAACCTCCTGCGGACCTCACGTTCGCTACGGGAGGGTTGATTGGGGTTCATCAGATCCCAATAGGAGAGCTCCTGCCGGGGACTCAAGTCTACGTGGAAGGGAGCTATTGGGGCAATTCCATCTCCTTCACTGGTGAGGTGGCTGCGGTGTCAGCGAAAGGTGGACAACTGGAACTTACCCTCGTTGTGTCCGGAACCTCGGACGAGAGTTTCCTTCGCTGGGCTTCAGGACAGGGAGACAAGTTGGTGCGATGTCATCTATGCCACCCAGAATGTGGGGGAAGCCCCGAAGCAGACGATTATATACATGCAAAGGCTATGAGGCTCTTGAAGTTCGACCCTCCTTCATGGAGCCAAAATCTGAAGGAGGCTGGTGAGACCGACGTTTTCAGGAGGATGGCCGAGGAGTCAGCAAGAAAGATGAGGGAGGAAAAAGGAAAAGGAACAGGGACGGGTGCTCCCCGGCCAGCCGAGGCAGGGGCCGCTGCCAAGGAGGACGAGGAAGACATTTCGACGTCGGAAGAAAGCAAAAAGAAGAAAAAGAAAAAGAAGAAGAGGAAGAAAAAGGCCAAGGCCTGGAAGGTAGAAGGCAAAAAGCCTTTGGACTCCCTCTTCAACCACACCGGCCTGGATCCTGTGCTGAAATCTCGTCAACGAGTGATGAAGAAGGCTCGGAGAGCAATGCGCAAGAAGGCCAGAGGAGAAAGCACCGGGAGCTCCGGGAGCTCGACAAGCGAGACGTCGTCGGCGGAGGCAGAGGGCAGCCTTTTCGAAGAAGGGCATCGCATCCGTCGAGCGGCCACCAAGGGGCCGGGTGCTCTGGCATGCTACACGGTGGAGAACATGGCCAAGATGCTGCTGACACATCAAGGACTTCCCGTGGAGGCCCGGGAAGGACCGGTTCCAGCTATTGCTTTACAATATCATCGACAGATACTGGCGCCAAAGCTCTCGGCGCCCCTGAGCCGAGAGTCCCTCAACTTGAGCGCAGCCGCAGACGCGTTGTTGGGGGGCCAACCAGCCCTATGTCTGGATATAATCATGCAGAGGCTGAAGAGTGTCGAGGCCGTGGGGAATGGACAGACCTGGGCATCAGCTCAGAAACTGGAGTTGACCCCACCCGAGGGCAGTCAGTTGGCGGGGCTGGAGGAGAGCAAGAGTGCACATCGAGAACTTCGCGAAGAGCTCAAGAACAAGCAGGCCAGCTTGAGGACGTGGGCAGGAGGCAAGAGCGACTACAAAGGAGGGAAGAGCAAGAACGAGGACGCAGAGAGAGGAAAAGGGAAGAAAGACAAAGGCAAGGCGAAAGACAAAAGCAAAGGGGAACGGGAGAAGGAGAAATGATGGCTCCTCCTCCTCCCCCATGGATGAACGCTGTGGACAATAAAGGAGGTATGGGAGAGGGTGGAAATGATCAACCCCCTCCTCCTCTTGACGAGGCTGCGATTGAAGAGGAGCTCCTGAGGCTAGAGACAGAAACACATGCTCGGATGACTGCTGGATCAACCACATCACTTCCTGTGGTTGGAGAGGACGGAAGCTATGAACCTCTCCGACCGTTCAAGAAAGACCGTACAGAGCGGAAGAGGTGTGCCGTCCTCGACTGCTGCAAACCCGACCTCGACTTGGTCGCGTCAAAAAGAGCGCAGGGATGGAGCGGACGTCGTTTTTCGGACTCGGTGCGGGACCTGACTGGGGAATTGTCCTTTTTTCTTCGCAAGACCATGCCCTCTGGGGAGGTTTTTCCCCTCCCCATCGACTCTGCTCTGGGAAGGCCCCCCTTTTCCGAAATAGACGACGAGGTATGCGAGGTGGTGAGAGGTATTGTTATTGGACTCAACAACCTTTTTGATTGTATTGAGGCGCCAAGTCAAAAAGTTTCACAACTGCGTGTACGTATTTTTGGGTATTTGATTCAAGAGGCAAAGAGTTTCATTGAAAAGACTGGGACATTTGAGACGCTCAGTTGGGAGGATTTCTTTAGAGTAAGGAGTATTGACTACAAAGGTGACGAAGTGAAGACAGCTCAACAGACAACATGGAGTTGCGTCTCTCCCGCGTTGCCTAGTGAAGTGGGTACGGTAGCGCTGGAGGATGTAGTTGAGGGAGGTTGCAAGGACTACGTGCTACACTTCGAACGTTACCTGGTACCCCCTGAAGCCCAAGTTTACACCAAGCCCCCAAAAGTCATGGTGGCAGACTGCGATTGGGAGGCCATGTGCGAAGGTCTCCTCGCGAAGGGGGTCTGTGGACTGATGGCGGAAAGCCAGCTGCACCACGTGCAGGGTCGTCCACTCCTAAATGGACTTTTTGGAGTTTTGAAGGAGGAGACCCACCAAGGTCAGCCAGTTCACCGGCTAATCATGAATTTGGTGCCACTCAACCGCCTCTGCAAGAGCATTACAGGGGACGTGTCGACCCTTCCGGCCTGGCCCAATATGAACGGGTTCTACATTCAGCCAGGTGAAACCCTGCTCATAAGCAGTGAAGATGTGCGGTGTTTCTTTTACCTGTTCAAAGTACCGCAAGAGTGGCGACCTTTTCTTGGTTTTGCAAAGCGAGTTCCAGCCAGACTTTGTCCGGATGAGGCGGAGCCCTACTACCTCACCTCGTTGGTGCTGCCGATGGGGTTCAGCAATAGTGTGGCCTTGGCACAACACATACACCGGGTGGTCGTAGGAAGGGCCCTTCGAGAGGCCCGTCGGCTTGGGTTTCCCGGAGGATGGGAGGCCGAACTTCGGAAGGATAGGGCGTTGACCGTCTCCAACCCTTTGTACAGGGTTTACTTGGACAACTTCGACCAGCTTGAGCGTGTGGAGTCGGACCTGGCAGCACGGATCAAAGGATCCACGACACCCCTGGTTGACAGTTTGCGCAACACCTATCAGGAGATGGAAATCCCACGTCGCCCCAAGAAGGCTGTAGAACGGCAGGTCAGGGCGGATGTTCAAGGTGCTCTTGTCGACGGGGTGGCAGGGACGGCTATCCCCCGTCCTGAAAAGATCACGCGATATATACAGCTGAGTTTGTTGATGCTGGAGGAAGGAGCTAGCACCCAGCGGCAGATGCAAGTCGTGGCAGGAGGTTTGGTTTACATGGCTATGTTTCGTAGGCCCCTGCTTGGAACCTTAAATGGGATTTGGGAGTTCATCCAAAGCTTCGACGACCACCAAAAATACCGACAGACCATTCCGACCCAGGTCAAGGGGGAGATAGCCCGGTTTTGTCTCCTGACCCCTCTGGCGCGAATGGACTTTAGGACTCCTTTCTCAGGGACGGTCACAGCCAGTGATGCATCCTCAACGGGAGGCGGAGTGACGGCCTCCTCGGGTTTAACCCCCGTAGGGTGTATGGCAGCCAACTGCCAAGTCAGGGGCGACATCGTTGAATCCTATGACCTGCGCTGCGTCCTTACAGTGGGGCTGTTTGATGGTTTGGGCGCCCTGAGGGTGGCTGCTGATGCCATAGGTTTGCCTGTGGTAGGTCATATCAGCGTGGAAAGGCATCCACCAGCCCGAAGAGTGGTGGAAAGCCGCTTTCCCAACAGCTTATTTGTGGAGGAGGTGGAGCAGGTCGATGCTGCAATGGTGCACGAATGGGTGTCGTTTCTCGCAAGTAGCCATTGTCATCCTGGGAGCGGGACCCCCCTGTCAGGGGGTCTCTGGGCTCAATGCAGATCGACGTGGTGCACTTCGAGATGAAAGGAGCTGCCTATTTTCCCACGTCAACCGGGTTCACAACCTTCTTCGTAGGGCATTCCCTTGGGCGCAGGTGCACCGACTCATGGAATCCGTGGCTTCCATGGATGAGGCAGACCGAAGTATAATGAGCGAATCGGTTGGGGACCTCCCCTGGCTGATTGACCCTGTGCATATCTGTGGAGCTCGACGACCACGGCTTTTCTGGCCGTCATGGGAGGTGCTTGAAGGTGAAGGAGTCCGCATCTCCTCGGCCCGCAACAAGGGGTGGGGCGCCATGGGCCAAATAGAACTGACCTGCCCGCTTGATGTCAATCAGTTCTTAGAGCCAGGATGGCGGAAGACTTCCGAGGAGCCTTTCCCCACCTTTACTACGTCACGGCCACGACGGACGCCGGGGCGCAAGCCCGCAGGACTACATCAATGTGATGAACAGACCCGACAAGACTGGGCCACAGATCTGCGCAGGTTTCCGCCGTACCAGTATCTCCATAAGTTCCGGGTTGAGGACAAACAACACAACAGTCGTCTTCTCACTTGTGAAGAGAAAGAGGTGCTGATGGGTTTTCCTAGGGGTTACACCGTACAATGCTACCCCAAGCATGAGCAGAACTCCGAGGCATGGCAAGATGAACGGCTTACGCTGATTGGCAATAGTTGGAACGTTTTTGTGGTGGCCTGGCTTCTGAGCCAGCTCTCCTTGGTTCTCGGGCTGGGACCCCGTTTGAGCCTACGGGAGGTTGTGCAACAGTGCAGCCCGGGTGGTGGACACATGTTACAGACGTTCCTCCTGCGGCCTTTTATGCGGAGACCACGTGATGGGGTGGCGGCAGAGAATCCTGAGGAGCTCGTGCGCAAGATTTCAGGGCTGCTTAGTCTCAAGGGAGAGGACATTCTCCTGCAAGTGCAGAGTGAAGACCCGGTGCGCTATCACCGTCTTCGCGCCAGTCTTCCAGCTAACCTCTGGAAGTGGCGAACAATTTGTGGATGGCAGTGGCAGGGGTCAAAGGAGCACATCAACAGCCTGGAGTTGCGAGCAGTGTATACCACCCTCCGATGGCGGATTGGCAAAAAGGGATGGCTTCAACAGAGATTTGTCCACCTCGTAGATTCCCTGGTTTGCTTACATAGCCTAGCTCGCGGCCGATCCAGCAGCCGCAAACTACGACGCACCTTGCTTAAGATAAACGCGCTTCTCCTAGCCTCCGGAACACATGCCCTCTGGGCATATGTGCATAGCTCCCAAAACCCGGCTGATGCACCCAGCCGGAGACCCATCCGCCGGACATGGCGAAAGTAAGGCGTGCGCATCTTGAAGGAGGCAGTCGGGAGGAGCGTAAAAAGCAACGTGCCGAGTTGGGAACCCTACAGTCATTAACAGTCCAACCCCGGACGCGGGAGCGATACAACAAGGCGCTCGAAGGTTTCTGGCCGTTCCTGCGAGCTGAGAACAGAGTCATCCCAAACACACATGCCGGTATTGATGTGCTACTGCAGGTCTACATAGAACATTTGTGGAGCGAGGGCTATGGGCGTGCGCAAGCAAGTGATACAGTTGCTGCCTTGCAAGACGCACAGCCACAGGTCAAGGGAGCTCTCCGGGGAACCTGGAGGCTCCTCAAGGCCTGGTCCATGAATGAGGTGCCCAACAGGGCACCACCCCTTCCCGAGGAGGCCCTGCAGACCATGGTCGGGTATGCCATTTTCAAAGAGCAGTATTTTTTCGCGTTGTCCCTCCTCGTGGGGTTTTATGGCACCTTGCGGACGGGAGAACTTTTGAACCTCCGTTCTTCTGATGTTAGCATACACACCGTCCATGGCCCGGGAGTGATATCACTGGGCTTGACAAAAGGGGGCAAAAGACAGGGCGCTATGGAAAGCGTCACAATGACGGCCGAAGAGCCTTTGCGCTGGCTCTATGCCTGGGTGTCAAACAGCAAGCCTCGTGAGCAACTATGTCCATCTCCTGCGAAGTGGAGAAAATGGTTTAATGCCACGGTAGAAGCTTTAGGGTATGCAGAACTTGGTTTTAGACCCTACTCCCTTAGACGGGGGGGGGGCGACCCATCTTTTCCAAAAGTGGGGCAACTTGGATCGCCTCATGATCTATGGGCGTTGGCAAGCCGTTAAGACGGCTAGGACCTACATCAATAGTGGATTAGCAGCCATCGCCGAAATGAAACTGCTTCGAAGTACAGCAAATCGTCAATTTCGCACAATATTTTTGAATTCAAGACAATCCCCCTTGCCGTCGCTTGAGCCTACCAGAGGTAGGGCAGGGGGCGGTGGAAAGAAACGCAAGAGAACAAAGAGGCGCGAGGGAGATCGCAAATCTGTTTTCCATCTTTTAAAGAAAAAGCCATGAGGTTTGTGTGCCTTCGGTGTGGCGGAGGTGCATGAACGTGGCTTAAAGTACTTTAAGCTCCTCGAG